AAAAGCACTTCCTGAGCATGCCACTGACTGAGCTCGTCCGCGGATGGGTTTCTCATGTTGTGTCTCAGGATCCCCATCTATACAGTTAACCTCTAGGAAAGCAGTGATCTTTGGCTCCTAGCATACAATAGCACAACCATCTTCTTCTCTCTGGCAGTTACTCTCCACTGGGTGCTGACAATACAGAATCTCATTTAATCCTCTCTACAATCCTTTGCAGCAGGTATGATTACAATTTCTACTTTACTCATAATGGCTATGAAAGTCAAGGAGGTTAAGAGACTTGCCTCAGGTCACCGAGCTAGATAATGGAGCCAGCATTCAATCTTTGACTAAATAGCCCATCCTTACCCACCATGTATGACCTGCATGGCTCTTTTTCTTACAACCTCTGAGCCCTGGCTTGGAATATGATGAGACAAAAATGATGTATTGGCTTCAAATTATGCACCAAGGGGGCCATTGGAAGGAAGCCCAGCCCCAGGGAAGATGCACATCCCAGGGTGGCCCTGGTAGGTAATGGAGGCTCTAGGCCCATTTGCCCTTTGAAAGAAAGCCACATGATAAATTTCAAATTATGAGAGAAGATGTGTGCCAGCTCATGCATCTGCATTGATAAGTATTCTTTTCAATGTGCTCACAAGGTCAGCTACACTTATACAGAAAGGACACACAGGTCCACTAGACAAGTGTTATGTTGGCCAGAGCCTCTAACTTGGGCTGGTTAGAGTGATGGTTAGGGAAAGTTTCCTAGAACAAGTAAGTGATGCTGACCAACCATTCAAAGGATGAGATGATTGGAAAGCCTGCCCATCAAGGGTATTCATGGGCCAGGTACCAAATCAATAGGTAGTTAGGGAAGTAACAGGAAGACAGCTGAAGGACTCTAACCATGAGCTAGATCCAACGTATCTTCATTGGTGCCTCGGTGCCCCTTTCTAAGAGGTCCCTGGTCCCTATGTAAGCAGGTAATTCCAGAGAATTGTAAGTCAAACCCTTCCTCAAATACAAACTGCCACCCCAAGATCTTAGCCAACACCCAGACATCATTCCACCTATCCAAATATAACTAGCTACCACCTGCCCACCTGCCCAGGCCCCTGTATGCTAAGGACAGCTTAGCAGGCAAACGCTGAGGAAGGATATGCCCTGGGCACATCTTGAACCTGGTTTTCTTTTAAGAATGGAGAAGCCATGTGGGCCCACCCCTCTCCTCCAGCAGAGACCCCAAACCTAGCATGCATGAGAGGAGGGTCATACAGCTCCCACCTTTGAGCAAATGATACTTGCATCAAGTGGGCTGATTTTTTTGTAATTTTTTTTGTTAGTTTTTTTTTTTTTATTTTATGTGCATTGGTATTTTGTCTTCATGTATGTCTGGGTGAGGTTGTCAGATCCCCTGGAACTGGAGTTATAGACAGCTGTGAGCCACAATGTGGGTGTTGGGAATTGAACCCAGGTTCTCTGGAAGAGCAGTCAGTGTGCTTTTAACCGCTGAGCCATCTCTCCAGCCCCCCAAAGGTGGCTTTTGATGTAAGATGGCCTCGATTCTCCCCCTCCCCTCCTAAGCCTCAAGGATGACCCATCCTTGATGTTATCAATAACGTCTTTCATTCTCTGGAAATCTGAGACTCCCAGCCCTGCAAGCTAAGCCCTGCGCCTTTTTCCTCCGCTTGCTTCTGGTTCTGCCTTCTTCCACAAGGCTGCCAACTTCTGTGAACACTCTCTGGACCAGCACCGAGGGTCTGGAGATTGGTGAGAGCAGCTACGCACAGAGGAACCCCACCTGGTGGGGGTCCTGACATTCCTGGAAGGTCTTTTCTCAACCAGGAATCCCATTGTGTGGAGGACTTTTGTTGATCCGATGGACAGCTCACAGGGAATGAGGGGTCAGGAGGGAAACTGGATATATCATTTTCTCTGTCTATTATCTCATCATAAATAAAAGTCTTGAGAGTTTCAGCTGTGTTGATAGATAAACACCCTCCTGGGAAGGTGACCTTTTCCCAGTTTGCAGACCGTCCATGTTGGGAGGGTCTGAGGTTTGGAACCAGCTCTTACCAGCTTCCTAGCAGCCTGTCTTGTATGGTTTGCATTCGTCATGTGACACACTACAGTGTCTGGTTTTCTCTGAGCCAATCACATGT